AACTGAGTGGCCGAGCGGTCTAAACTGAGCGGCCGAGCGGTCTAAATTGAGTGGCCGAGCGTCTAAACTGAGCGGCCGAGCGGTCTAAACTGAGAGGCCGAGTGGTCTAAACTGAGCGGCCGAGCGGTCTAAACTGAGCGGCCGAGCGGTCTAAATTGAGTGGCCGAGTGGTCTAAACTGAGTGGCAGAGCGGTCTCAACTGAGTGGCAGAGCGGTCTAAACTGAGTGGCCAAACGGTCTAAACTGAGCGGCCGAGCGGTCTAAATTGAGCGACCGAGCGGTCTAAACTGAGCGGCTGAGCGGTCTAAACTGAGCGGCCGAGCGGTCTGAATTGAGCGCCGAGCGGTCTAAACTGAGTGGCCGAGCGGTCTAAACTGAGCGGCCGAGCGGTCTAAATTGAGTGGCCGAGCGTCTAAACTGAGCGGCCGAGCGGTCTAAACTGAGAGGCCGAGTGGTCTAAACTGAGCGGCCGAGCGGTCTAAACTGAGCGGCCGAGCGGTCTAAATTGAGTGGCCGAGTGGTCTAAACTGAGTGGCAGAGCGGTCTCAACTGAGTGGCAGAGCGGTCTAAACTGAGTGGCCAAACGGTCTAAACTGAGCGGCCGAGCGGTCTAAATTGAGCGACCGAGCGGTCTAAACTGAGCGGCTGAGCGGTCTAAACTGAGCGGCCGAGCGGTCTGAATTGAGCGCCGAGTGGTCTAAACTGAGTGGCAGAGCGGTCTAAACTGAGCGGCCGAGCGGTCTAAACTGAGTGGCCGACCTGTTTAAACTGTGTGACCGAGGTGTTTAAACTGTGTGGCCGAGCTGTTTAAACTGTGTGGCCGAGCTGTTTAAACTGAATGGTGGATGGCGTTCGGTGAAGCAAAGCCACTGCAGACTCAAGAGTTCCTCAGGGTTTAGTCCTGGGTCCCCTTCTCTTTCTCTGTCATATAAACGACCTCTCGGATACTGTAAAATCTCAAGTGAGGATGTCTGCAGATGAATGTCTTGCCTACAGAGAGATAAATGGCTACGATGACCACAACCACCTCCAATCAGATTTGAAGTGCCCTATGATATGAGCGGACAAATGGGGCATGAAATTTAACGAAACCAAATGCTACACAATGAGCATCTCAAGCAAAAACCATCAACCTATATGTACTCTCTCAACAAGACTATTCTCCAACAAGTCTTTCAAATAATCCACAACTTGGAATTCTTTTCTCTAATAATCTAAAATGGTCACCCCATATAAACAAAATTTTAAAAAAAGCCAACTCCACACTTGGTTTCATTCGAAGAAATCTGTGCCACTGCCCAACATCCTGCAAGCGAAATGCCTGTCTCGCACTCGTCCGTCCGCTACTAGAATATGGTGCGATAATCTGGAGACCCATACCTAAAGCAAGACGTGGACAAAATGGAGCGAATACAACGCAACACATAGCGCTTCATCGCAAGTGACTACAAATTCACCACTCCTGGCTTCGTCGCTGACCTATAAAAAGATTTGACATCCCCCTCCCTCAGAGACAGACGAGAAAAGCTCCGTCTAACATTCTTATATAAAGTGGTCACGGGGCTAGTGCCGGCCATCCCAGCTAACACGAATCTAACAAACCAGAAGCCAGGTGGCTTAATGAGAGCCAAACGACTTCACCAACTCGACCAAACACACATCCTGAACAATGATAAATGCTTCACTGTGTCTCGGTGTAACACAGTCCAATATAAACAATCATCCTTCCCACGAACAATAATTGCTTGGAACTAACTGGACAATGCCGCCGTGGACTCGACATCAATCGAGAGTTTCAAGGCTGCCCTGGCACCACCCGCTAGGAGCGGTTAGGATAGCCGCAGCGTTTCCCAAACCGTTGCACATATGCCAATAGATGGATGCAGCAACGTAGTCTATCAGAATCAGAATCAAGGGAAACTGCATACCTTCAAGGGCGCTACAACTGGAATGGATTTAGTTCATTGCCCGCTGGTCCGGGGTTACAGATGTCTTCGGTCATAATTATAGGTAATATTTTGGCGCCTCCCAGACTAAAGTTTTAAATTTCACCTCAAAATTGTCTCGTAGAAACATTGAATTGAAGTTTGCGCCAAAATACCCCCTTGCATTTTCAATTTGTGTGACTGTCTTTAGCAGCCTAAATTTATGCACCCCATTCCCTCACGCTTATCAGTGTTACAGTATGGGGTTGAATTTAATCTTGTGCCAAATGATTACCCTGGGGCACGCCGCAACCGGGGTGAATTCAATTTCTGAATGGCACTGGCACCATAATGCCTCCCAAGACCCTTAAAAATGTCTTTATGCCTTTCACCAAAAGTCTAATCGAAAAATTGAATTCAAGTATACTCTAAAATGTACCTCTTGATTTATAATTAATAACAAAAAAATCTTGGGAGAACCCTCTACTCAAGATTCGTCTTACTTACTTACTGATGCCTTTCTCCGTTTGGGGGATAGGCCGTCTACAAGAATTTTCCATTTATCTCGGTCCTGTGCTTTCCTGTCCAGTTGCTTCCAGGTGTACCCCTTACTTTGTGTGTCTGGCTCTAGCTCGCGACTCCGTGTATTTTAGGGCCTCCTCTTTTCCTTTTTTCCCGGTACATCTCATGTATGGGATTGTCAGGTGATGTTACCTGGGGGTTTGCGGAGAGTGTGCCCTGTGCACCTCATTATTTTCCTTTTGATGTTTAACCAATAGGCTTCTGGAATGTCCTTTCTAGTAAGTCGATGTTGGTGATGCTGTTTGGCCATTTGATGTTCGGGATCTTTCTAAGGCAAGCGTTTATAAAGAACTGTACTTAGTGCCTAATGGTCGCTGTTGTTCTCCAAGCTGTGGCTGCGTAGAGTAGGACTGTTTTGACTTTTCGTTGAAAATGTTGACATTGGTTTGAAGATTCATCTCCTTTAACTCTCACATGTTCTTTAATAGCACAGATTCTGATCTTATAACCTTTCCAATTCTACTAGCCCTGATATCCGTTTTGGATCCACCATTTTTGTCAATGGTGCTGCCTAAGTATGTAAAGGCCTCCAATTCTTCCAGTGCATTTCTTGTCCGAGAGATATGCTGAGTTTGCATTTTTGAAATGGGTCTTTCTTTTAGTTATATAAATATAGATTGATATAAATAAAAGCGAGGTTCATAGTGGTCCTCAATTTCTACCCTACACCCCGATGAAAATGATCGCTAATTTTGGTGGCGATTGATAGATAGAGGGAGAAGAAGAGGAAGACAAAGACAAAGAAAAAGATGGGAAGACAACATCAAAGCGTGGACGGGACTGAAACTAGACGATGCTGTGAGACGTGCAGAAGACGGAGACGAATGGAGGAGGATAGCTCACATGTCATCTGTGGTGCCCCGACGGCCCAAAGACTAAGGGACATGATGATGATGAGGATGATGATGAGATAGTGGCGTAGCTAATACTAGTGTCACCCTTGTCGGGCAAATATTTTTGCCGCTCTTCCTTTCACGATACAAACTCTGCATTTGTCCAAAACTGTGGCCCATCAATCTAATGAACAAGTGAAACATTGAGTGAACAACCTAATCCTCCTCCTTGCTACGCCACTGGCAGGGGCGTAGCAAGGGTGTTTGGCGTCTGGGGATATGATTCATTTTACGCCGCCCCCCCCCCCCCAACTACTCTGAAACTAATTATTTTAAACCATTAAATACCATCAAAGCCCAATTTGGTGCCCCTCATTTCTTCGACCGGGGACGTATGCCATATCTGTCATCACTTAGGTACGCCTCTGGACACTGCCCACTAGAAACTGAATGTTCCCCGATCCTTCCGGAAAATCTGAATACCCCCCCCCCGGTGGTTGGGGAATGTCTGAAAGAAGCACTGGGCTCGATGTGTTCAGCTATTACACAGGCCAGGCGTGTTTGGCTATTACACGGGCCAGACGTGTTTGGCTATTACACAGGCCAGACGTGTTTGGCTATTACACAGTCTAGATGTTGTTGGCTGTTACAACGACCAGATGCAGTTTTGCCCAAAAAAGTATTTTGAAAAAAAAAACATTCTTAAAATATAATTCCGCCAGTTTTCCATTTCCCTCACATGTGCGGGAATTTACACCAGTTGGCCGACCACTTTCTTAACCGGCTGTTAAGTTATTTGAATCCCAGCACTGGATCTACCACTCCATGTTACATCCATCAAAATGACTAACCGTTCTTGAAAATCAGCTAATCACATCAAGAACACGTCACAAAATGATGAAGTAGTTCTAATCTATATTTTCAGCTTTCGCTTATTCAAAGGATGTAAAACATTTTTCGGATATTTTCTTCAGTCTGCTGATTTTTAGTGACAATGATTATTTGACAGGTCTAACAATATGGCTTAAGTTTTATTACCACGATAAATACTATTTTGATTTTTTTTTTGGTAAGCATGACCCAACAAACTCAAAGAATTTGGCTTTTTTTTTTTAAAGAAAAATATTCAAAGTTAAATGGAAATATAAGAATATTTCATTCACAAATTAGCCAAATAAGTCTGCCCCATTGCGAAAATACCTCATCGCAATAATGTACCTTACCTTGGGCGACATGAGACGCTAACCGCATAGCAGCATCGAACTCAGCGTACCGTGCCATGTCACTATGTCCTTTCTAATAATTCAACAATGTACATTTGGCTACACGTATCAACTGCTGCGATTGCCTCATTTCTCCGGCCTAACAACTATTTATGAAAAAAAAAATAAGGAACAATGTCACACGTTTTAGGCAAAAGTTCGCAGACAAGATATACCGACTCTACACATCCGCTGAAGTCTTCATCATGACCACAAAATAAGAGTCCAGACTTGAGAAGCTCGGACCAGGGCAGTAACTGGTTCGATGACTCTTCTGCTTACCGATAATTGGATGCCATTTAAAAGGGTGAGTGCCATTTGTGGTTTATTTTTTATGAGTCTTACATCAAACAAAAATTTCGGTAATTATTATTGGGAACACAGGTTGGATGGTCGTATTACTTATTCCGACAACCAATCAACTTCCGGTAGGTTTGGGAGAACTTCGAGCTGAGCGTGACGTAGATGATGAAGTTGATCGACGTGTTGAACTGGTAGAGACAGCAGATCACACTGCGCAGCAAGTAGTAAACTTTGCCGCGTGACAAAAGGGGCGTGTTCGAGTACAAAATGTAAAAATTGATGACGGCCGTCGGCAGGGACACGCAAAACGTGACGACACACACGGTCAGTAGCATCTTGACCACTCGCGTGTCCCTGACCTGGTTATTCGAACCCGTTGAGAACTTCACTAGTTCTTTCTGGCGACCGACCATCAGCTTGGCGCAGATGATCACTGAGCAGATGAGGATTGTCGCTAAAGTTGATGTTGTAAAGAGATTGCTGAGCCCGGCACTGGCGTATCTGTTGAGGTCATCGATGTGGTCGGTGTAGAACCTGCTCAGTACGTACCCGCCCCTCGTGGCGTTGTATCGGGCGTCATAGATCCAAACGAAATCCTGAAGGCTGAAGATGGGCGACATTAAAGATATCGAGTAGACGTACAGAAATGCAATCATCCACTTGACCCGGTACGGCGTGAAGATACGAGATACCTGAAATGGGAAGCAAACCGCCACGACACGTTCAACGGCTATGGCTGTTGTATGACAGATGCTGATGGATACAAACACATCGGGTATGTTGAATAGAAAGACTACAGATATTGACCTCACGGTCAAGGCCGTCAAGGGGTCGAACTGCTCGAAAAAACACTGGAGCCTCCGGAACGGCTGCGTTACTGAACAGAGCAAATCGTTGACCGAGAGAGACAGGAGCAAGACGGTCGTGGTCTCTTTAAACGTGTGACGGGACAGAACCATGATGTTGAGGATGTTGGCGATGATGCCAAGGAGACTCAGGAAATGGAGAAAGAAACAGTTGAAAAAGATGTCAAACTGCCACAAGAGTCGCTCGTTGAGGCCCAAGTCGGCAACAGCCTGGGTGGAGTTTCGTGACGTAATGTCCGGCCAGCTGTCATTGCTGTGTCCAGATAAACTCATGTCGGTCTGGAACTCACTGTTAGAAACGTTTATCTTAGTTAGGGAACTTGTGAGACTTGTGAAAAACAGAGACTCCATCGGAGATCGGGCTACGCGGCTTTACGTGAGAAGCTTTTCTCTATTAGGCGAACACATTCTATTATTAGACATTATTGTTTTCTCAGAAATAGAAAAGGTTTGGGTTTTCCCCCCATCATTTAACAGTTTAGAGGAAAATTGGATTGTGAAAATCAATGGTTTGATATCAATTACCATCTCATTGTTCATAACTTGTTGAATATTTACATGTTCATATGTAATATGAACACCCTAAATAAAATGTGCCCATATATTTTAATTTTTTTAAATCTTCTTTTTTTTTTTTAATTTTTTTTTAATTTTTTTTTTTTTTTTTTTTTTTTTTTTTTTTTTTTTTTTTTTTTTTTTTTTTTTTTTTTTTTTTTTTTTTTTTTTTTTTGCAGTGATGCGCCTAGACTTTTTAAAAATAAAATAACAAATGACTTATTTCTGCTGCAAAACTAGAAATATGTAGGCTGATTAAAGATATTTATTCAAGACCAGTAATACAACAAGGCTAATTTGTTAAAGCATCATTACTAATTTCAAGCGTAACAAATTTAACAAAGCAGGTAGTGTTGCTTTTTTTTTTTTTTTTTAATAAAGCATTGTAAAAATTGTATTTAATTACCGCACACAATTTGTTTTAAAATTTAATTCGGGGCATTACAAAGTTAGTAATTTACATTTTTTAAATCTTCTTTTTTTTTTTTTAATTTTTTCTTAATTTTTTCTCTTTTTTTTTTTTTTTTTTTTTTTTTTTTTTTGTTTGGGCTTATTTTTTTTTAAAAAAAAAAAAAAAATTTTTTTTTTTTTTTTTTTTTTTAATAAAGCATTGTAAAAATTGTATTTAATTACCGCACACAATTTGTTTTAAAATTTAAGTCGGGGCATTACAAAGTTAGTAATTTACACATGACGTCAAATATGTTTAACGCTGTAATTACGACCACAGAATATGATCACCCTGTGGGCGTATCCCTTATACGCTCAATACTTTGACGATCTTTCGGCGTATAAATGACACGAGTAATAAATCGAGCTAATAATACTGGATGAGTTACTTAATTATACATTTTTTTATAAAAAGCACTTTTTAAAATTTTATTTATTTATTCTGTGTGTGTTGGGCCCGGGAGAAAAAAAAAGGGGGGGGAGGGGGGGGGCTCATCGGTAATTCATTCCTACACCAAATAAAAGAATTTTTTTTTTAATATATATATATATATATTTATTTATTTTTTTTATTATTTTTTTTTAACAATATTGAATTGATTTCAGGATTGGTAATGTTATATACATTTTCAGGAATAGAAAATAGCATTGTTTAAAATCGATCGTACAAACACAATTGATGTGGTTTTGCTTCGAGATGGCAACTAATTGTGTACGTGTTTTTGGGTCGTTTATCTATCTAAACTAATTTGCAGTTTGACTGAAACTATTTTTCTTAAACGGCGGTTGCCAGGCAATAAAATCAATTCGCTGGATGTCCTTGTTGGTAAAAATTGAAAAATCTTCTTGAAATACCACTCGAAAATAATGAGAAAGTTTGTGAGCAAATTAGTGGATCGGGAAAACTATACTTTAGCGATTCTGACTAGACGTCAAATTAGAATCTGGGGACCAAGAACATTTCATGTCAAAAGTAGTTCTATTGAAAGAGTGCAAGCTAAACTTGGTGTAGGAATAACATCATGGAATTGGGCCCCGAAGGAATGGGATAATCACCTGCGATGCAAAGTATGGATGTTGCTAAATGCAAGTAATTGCGTCTCAGTTTCAAATAGATATATGTATATATCTACAGTCTCCTCTACTCTAGAAACTGCACGGATGTTGTCTTATAAAAACTATCGGTAGGTATCTCGTGGTCAGTTTAACAAGTGCTTAATACTTGGTTGGGTTGGGTTGGGTTGGGTTGGGTTGGGGGGGGGGGAATAAAAGAAATAACAGCAGTTTTATCCTAAACCAAAATAGTCCACAGTCTAAACAACCTTTAAAAAAAAAGATTCTAGATTTAGTAATACTTTATACATCTCCAATTGATGTGATGGACTTTGAAACAAACAATAGTTTTATTTTAAGATCTAACCCAAAAAACACAAAACACAAAAACAGCCATTACATGTCGTATTAGTTGACACCAATATTGTGGGACGTAAAAATAATGAAAAAGTCCAACCGAAATAAATCAACGACTTAAAAAAAAACAACACGTAATTAACATGAATTAACTGAACCTAAATTAAAAGCAAGAGGGTTGTCATAGAACAGTGGTTCTTAACCTGGGTTCGATTGAACCCCAGGGGTTCGTTGAGTCAGTTTCAGGGGTTCGGCGGAGGTAAAAAAAAAAATCAGAAAAAAAATCATATTTTATTTTTCCTATTAAGAAGGATTCGGTGAATGCGCATATGAAACTGATGTGGTTCGGTACCTCCAAAAAGGTTAAGAACCACTGTCATAGAAATATGTGTTTATTTTGTTTTTTCTTAGCAAGATATTTTGTTTCAGAGAGCTATCCAAAGACTACGAAGATTGATTAAAGAATTCTTAAGGTGGTGAATCTTCGTTACACATATCAAAGTGACTTTAGCCACCCATTTGATGCTGCTTCTGATGGCCCATCCGAAGATGTGCTGCTACCCACGGGGAATCTTTTGAGACCCGTGAGGTTTCTCATCGCTCCACTGGTCTTCTCGGCCATGGCCAGTCAGGCGGTTGGGGCTCTATAGGCCACCCTAACAGGGGAAGTGGGCTGTGGGACCCTCGCCTACAATCTCGACCCATTTGTTGTGTACGATACAAGTCATAAGACTTGATTTACTGAGGAAATCTCACATATGTTCAGTGACCATAATGTAATAAGTTTTCATTTAAAACTAAGACAAAAACTATACTCGAAAAGGCTTTAAAACATTACTATTATTTTATTGGAAAATCTTTAAAATAAATTATGCAGGCATTTTCCTGTTGTTATTTTTTACAAAAATTTAAAATAACATAATTTTTTTTTTTTTAAATTAACATAAATTTAAAATAAAGTTATAACTTATATGTTCAGTGTATATATAGGCCTATATATATATTATTTTTTTAAATCTTAAGTTGTCTACCTTGTAAAAAAATTTTTTAAAGGTAGGTTTAATCCCCTATAATCATTGAAAAATCATTATTTCAGCCCTATCCCCTACATGTATATTAAATTTGCGTGTGTTTAAATTCAATTAAATGAAGTGTACTACGGATTCATATTTTCATAATTTTCAATGCGACATTTTCCAGGTCAATATTCTATTTATAGGTTTTTTTCTAGCTTTGTCCTTTTTCTTCAGTTTAATGAAAGCTGTTGTTGATAGTGAACCTTGAAAAAAAAACTAAATATCCTTGACAAATAAACTTACTCATTTTTTTAAACAAAACCCTTGAAATGGCGCAAACTAAATCAAACTATATGCTTAGGTTGTTGTTGGTTGTTTTTTTTTTTTTGTGAGTAAATTGTTTTCCCCTGCGAATAGCACAAGCCATGCCAGGGTAGAGCCTCATAATGACGCCATGAAAAGGGGCGTCACTCAGACATTGGGACGCCACTAACCATGCTGCACCCGCCCACTAAACTCAAGATGAGACGGAGCTTTGTCAGCGTGTTAACAGCCTGTGCCCGCGTGTTGTCAGCTCGTTGACAGCGTGTTGTCAACGTGTCATCAGCGTGTTGTCAACGTGTTGTCAAATAGTTTATTGAAGATGTTGCTACGAGACAGGGGGCGCGGTGAATGATGCAGTGAATGATACATGTGTACGGTAGGTAGGCAGGCAAATTTTGCTGGCTCCCAGTGACACAAGACATTCTAAGCGCCGACGATGCACTTATATTTATTATATTTTGTTTGAATTTTCCTAACAGATTTGTCAAAAAACTGTTGGCTACATGTGTGTGTAGATGCAAATGATTTGTATAGATAAAATCTTCCTTAGTGTCTGAAATATTTTGTCTTTTCTTTTAATTTAATAAGTTTAAATGACGTGTGGCCTTCGAAGAATCGACTCGCTTTCAAAATGTCCCGTTAAGCCCTTGGAGCTGGCCACCCTTAAAAGTAAGGGTTATAATTTAAATGTCATAATTCAAGTGTTATAAATTAAGCTTCATAAATTAAGTGTCGTAAATTTAGGTGTCATATTTTAAGTGCCATAATATAAATATCACATTTTAAGTGTCATATTTATTTAAGTGCCATAATTTAAATATCACATTTTAAGTGTCATATTTATTTAAGTGCCACAATTTAAATATCACATTTTAAGTGTCATATTTATTTAAGTGCCATAATTTAAATATCACATTTTAAGTGTCATATTTTAAGTGTCATATTTTAAATATCATATTTTAAGTGTCATAATTTAAGTGTCATAATTCAAGTTTTAAAACAACAGATATTGACACTGTGGTGTTCACGGACATGGAGTGACATGGCTTTCAGCTAGGAATCATTTGATGAAATGGCACATTTATTGTAACGTGTTTTTTTTTTAATTCTGCATCTCTGGCCCCGTGTGTTACGTCCTTTTCATAAAGTCCACAATACTGTATAAATTTCAGAACTATTATTATTGAGTACTTGGTCACCTTTGTACAGTTCATTTGAAGACTTTTTTTTTAAAAGTTAGGAGTAATTTTGATGAAGTTCAACAAATTAGCAAGATCACCCTTGCCAATTGTGTACATTCCCAAGATACTGTTGAACAAAAACGTTGGGTTGTACACTATAACTGATTCTATCTCATGCAGAGTTTTATCA